GCCTCCCAGGTTCACGTCATTCTCCTGCCTCAGCCTCTCGAGTAGCTGGGACTACAGGCGACCACCACACCACCAGCTAATTTTTTGTATTTTTAGTACAGATAGGGTCTCGATCTCCTTGACCTTGTGATCCACCTGCCTCGGCCTCCCAAAGTGCTGTGATTACAGGCGTGAGCCACCACACCCAGCCAATTTTTTTTTTTTTTTGCAAAGGAGTCTTGCTCTCTCACCAGGGTGGAGTGCAATGGCACGATCTCAGCTCACTGCAGCCTCTGCCTCCTGGGTTCAAGTGATTCTCCTGCCTCAGCCTCCCGAGTAGCTGGGACTATAGGCGCCTGCCACCACGCCCAGCTAATTTGTTTTTTTTGTATTTTAGTAGAGATGGGGTTTCACCATGTTGGCCAGGATGGTCTCGATCCCCTGACCTGATAAAATATTTTTAACTTCCATTGCAATTTATTCTTTGAGCCACCAGTTATTTTAAATACATTGCTTAAATCCCTGACTTAGCATAATGTCCTCAGGGTTCAAACATGTAGCATGTGACAGGACTTACTTTTTTGTTGTTATTTGTTTTAATATGCTTTATTTTTTAGGGTGCTTCTAGGTTCACAGTAAAATTGAGCAGAAGGTACAGAGATTTCCCATATGCCTCTTTCACCCACACATGTATGATCTCCCCCATCATCAACCTTCCCCATCAGAGTGGGTACATTTATTACAACTCATGGACCCATGTGGACACATCATTATCACTGAGTCTATAGTTTACATTAGGGTTCACTCCTGGTGTTATACATCCATGGGTTTGGACAAATGTATAAAGACATGTATCTCCATTATGATGTCATGCATATGAATTCCATTGCTCTAAAAGGCCTCTGCCCTGACTGATCCTCCCTCCCTGTCAGCTCCTAATCTTTTTATTGTCTCCATAGTTTTGCCTTTTCCAGAATGTTGTAATCATACAGTATGTAGTCTTTTGAATTGGCTTCTTTCACTTAGTAATGTGCATTTAAGTTTCCTAAGCTGTTGATCATGAGACTGAGTCTCTTTTTATACTTCATCAGACATGTAAGTTTCTATTTTTAATATAGATTTTAATTTTTGTAAGTCAGTTCATTTATTGGACAAGATATGTGCTTTAAATTTTTGCATGGTCTGCAGTTTCACTACAGCTCATCCCCCTGTTATTAAGATACATTGACCTGGGCTAGTGATATTTTAAAATCTTATTTATTTATTCTTTTTTTGAGATGTAGTCTTGCTCTGTTGCCAGGCTGGAGTGTAGTGGCATGATCTCGGCGCACTGCAACCTTGGCCTCCTGATTCTCCTACCTAAGCCTCCCAAGTAGCTGGGATTACAGGCACCCACCACCACACCCAGCTAATTTTTGTATTTTTAGTAGAGGCAGAGTTTCACCACGTTGGCCAGGATGGTCTTGACCTGTTGACGTCGTGATCTGCCCTCCTCAGCCTCCCAAAGTGCTGGGATTACAGGCATGAGCCACTGTACCCAGCTAGGCATTTTTAAAAAACTTAAATCTCCCTTATTAATATCACTATGTAATTATTAGGGGTTTAATATTGTTAAGAGAATGTTTACTTCCTAGGTGATAATAGGTTGAGTATGTGTAGGGTCCAGCCCTACAGGGCCTGTGGGTTTTTCTCTTTGTGTGTGGAGACAAGAGATTGTAGAACTAAAGACACAAGACAAAGAGAACAAAAGACAGCTGAGCCTGGGGGACAGCTACCACCAAGACACGGAGACTGGTAGTGGCCCCGAATGCCTGGTCGCGCGCTGTTATTTATTGTGTATAAGGCAAAGGGGCAGGATATGGAGTGAGAGTCATCTCCAATGATAGGTAAGGTCACGCGAGTCATATGTCCACCGGACAGGGGGCCCTTCCCTATTTGGTCGCCGAGGGAGAGAGAGAGAGGGGACAGTTTACATCATTATTTTTTTTAATGTATTTTAAAGACTTTAGTACTTTTACTAATTTTGTTACTGTTATTTAGAGGGCGGAGCCAGGTGTACAGGGCAGAACATGAAAGCAGACCATGGGCGTGACTGCTGAAGCACAGCATCACAGGGAGACGGTTAGGCCTCTGGATGGCTGTGGGCGGGCCTGACTAATGTCAGGCCTTTTACGAGAGGTGGTGGAGCAGAGTGTGTTTTAACTCCTCCGGAGAAAGGGGGGGACTTGTTTTCCCAGTCTGTTAAGTAACGGGTGCCTACCCAGGCACTGGTGCTGCCGCTAGACCAAGAAGCCCTCTAGTGGCCCTGTCTGGGCATAACAGAGGGCTCACGTTTTTGTTTGGGCCATTTTTTACCGTGTCCCTTTAGTTTTTATCTCTGTACCATGTTCCTTTAGTTTCTATCTCTGTATGACCTGGGTTTTTATAGGTTATAATTGTAGCGCAAAGATTATTATTGGAATAAAGAGTAATGCTACAAACTAATGATTAATAATATTTATATATAATTATAATTTATTTTTGGTACAACTATTTTTATTGTATATATTTTGTGTATTATACTAAAACAGCTTGTACCCTAGGTCTCTTGCCTTAACACCTGGTTGACTTGCCACCCACAGTATGCCATAAGCTTTAAGCTCTCTTTTGGAACATTTGGCTAATTTGTTATTTTATTGTATCCCATTTCTATCCTTGGTTTT